GCTAAGAGATTTACAATTGATGCGTATGCACGCACACAATTCTAATTTCTACTCATTTAAACATGCAAGAGAATTAAACAATGTCTGATATAGGAGAAGAAAGCTAAACTTGGTATATAGATATAGATATGTATGTACTTCGAACTAAATTTTGATTCTTCTTTTTATCCAACTGATTTCGTTATTTATATTCGTTAACAATGATAATATTTTGGTTTGAATTTATGTCATGATTTTCATCTGCTTGACAGAAAAGACTTTTGTATAAAATAAGATTGATTTTTCGATGTTTTGGATATATGATGTTCACTATTGAAATAGATTAGCTCGTTTATGATTTAGAATTAATGTATCACTAATAGTCTTTAAATTTTAATTTGTCGATTATTTTTTAGACAAGAAAAAAAAACTAAGTCGATGAAAATGTCTCTGATAAGATCAATTCGATATGTTTAAATAAAATTTATTTGTTTTTTTTTCTAATTGTATTTTAAAAAACTATAATCTATTTTATAAGACTAAAAATGCATAGAAAGAAAATATTATTTAAAGAAAAAAAATCGTAAAATGATTATTATCAATATAGCAATAATAAAGATAAGTCCTATTGTTCTTTTAAAAGACCAATCATGTTTACGATGTTTTTCTTTTTCGTATACATCTAGAATAAATTGATATGTTCCTAATTTAAGTTTTTCATAAGCATCATGTTGAATAATTGTTCCATGTGCCATAATTAGACGATTGAAATTTTCATAACGAATCATCATTTGATCAAAATCATTTTTAATTGAATGAATATTTTTTCGAAAAAAAAATTTAAATGGTTTTGTAACACATGCTTCACGATGGCCATCAGCTAACCATAAATAGAATCTGAATAGATGACCTTCTGCTCGAATCAATTCTTGACCTGATTCATAATAATTAAATGCCAAATCAGTTAGGATCAATGTTGATGACGATCGATGATAGCATACAATTTCATCTAAAACATCTACACTATAAAAACAATAAAAATCAATTTCATCAAATGGCCATTCGAATGGTTCAGTCGTTGGACAATTAATATTCAATGTTAAGCCATCTGTTGAAAAATAAGCATGAACTTGTCGATTCAGTTTTTCATCAGATATAACACCACGTGTTCCAATGAGATATGCATTTGGATATTCTCGAAAAAATTGTAAAGCCCAAAAAGTATGATGTTTATTCGGAATAACAATATATTTAACTTCGCCTAAAATCAAAAATTCATATTCATTAGAAGAACATATATATTAGAATATTATCTTCTATAAAGAATAAAAAATATAGAGTCAAGGA